ATCTCGAATTCTTTTCAAGACTATTTGAAAAGTATGAGTACACTGAGTGCTATATATATTTTATACTGCATGAATATACTATTAATCGTTCCGAGCATAGTCCATGAAAAAGTCATTAGGAAAATATCTCTCGTAAAGAAAAGAAACAAAAAAGGAAAAAGAAAAGAAAAAAAAGAAATGTGGAGAAAAAAAAAAATAAAAAAAAAAAACAAAAAATAAATAAATAAATAAAAAAGAAAAAGAAATAATTACAATAATAAAGAAGAAAGAAAGAAGAAAGAAGAAGTTAGAAAAAAAAGGTAAGAAAGAAAGAAAGAAAACGAAAATCGAGATATAATTTTGATAAAATCGACGAGAATAAAAGATATTGAAATTCCTGAATAACGATTAATTTAATATTATAATAAAGTGAGGACAAACGAGACACACGGTTATACATTTTCTTTCGACCATGGCCGTATTCCGTGAGGCCGTTTCCTCGGATTTTTTTTTTTATCTCGCTCGCCGGCCCGTATCGATCGAACTCGCCCCCGTGGTGAAAAAGGTGGAGAAGGGTATAGAAGGAGGAGAAAGAGGAGGAGGAGGAGAAGGAGAAGGAGGGTGAAAGCCGATAGAAATCTCCACGAAAACTTGAGGCAACTCGTGTGACACGAGCATTACGCGGAGAAACAACGTCGACTTTCTCTCTCTCTCTCTCTCTCTCTCTCTCTCTCTCTCTCTCTCTCTCTCTGTCTCCCCTATATACAGGCACACACATACATCTATACATATACACATACAGTCTTCTTCTTCATCTACCACGTACTCACGTCTATCCCCTCCCAACTCCATCGTACTTTCTTTTCCTTACGTGTATATTGCGGGTATTAGAGAAGAACAACGTAACTCCACACGTAACACCACAGCACTCTCTCCACTCTCTACCCCCAAACCTTCTTTCTCTTTCTTTCTGTCACTCTCTCTCTCTCTCTCTCTCTCTCATCCTTTTCTTTGACGACGTATCCCAAGCTTTGCCCACTTCTCCTTCCTTTTTCCTCCAAGCTTTTAATCCTTTCCAGACCCGAGGCCAAACTCTACGGGCAGTGCAAAACGGCACACACGAGGAGGAACGAGCCAAGCAACCGTCGGGCGAGGCGCCAGCAAGGCTGCGATATGACACGACGAGAGATCGAAACGATACGAATTGCGAAACAAACAGTACCTCGGCGAGCTCGTCATCCGACCCAACGCCGATAAATTGAAAAATAACGATATCGATATCGAAATATATCCACCCACGTAACTATAGTTATAACTACAGTTATATATACGTATGTCATTGCTAAAGCTATCCTTGCAAAAAAAGGGACAAGATTGAACGAACGATATGGCGGCTTTATAGGATTGATGAAATTTTGAAATTTGCCATCACGTCGATGCGCGAAAACTAACACAAATGAAAAAGAACGATATTCGTTTTTCATCGATTTCTTGTCGTTTTTATTGTACTCGTTATCGTTGTCATTATTATTATTATTATTATTATTATTATTATTATTATTATTGTTATTATTATTGATATATTATTAGTTTGATTGTTTTTATTCGGTAAGTAAAATTACGAAATTCCATAGGAATTCTTTTTATACGTTAAGATAACTATTACTTACATGTCGACTAAAAGGAATTTGTCCCCCTCATTGTGGAGACACCTGCCTTTACTGGAAAGCTCATTCCTGGATATTACAATCGATTGCCTCACGCCACTTTGAAACCAGGTGCCTTCCCAACGCGGTGGAAACGTACATTCTGAAACAATTTATTGAAAGAACATTAATTTTTTTATCGGCAACAAAACAAAAATAGAATACATCGATATGTTATATCAAAATTTTCAATACTATTTCATTATTTCAAAATAAATATGAATATTTTGTCATTATTACAAATAAATATGAATGTATAGAAAATAAATATTAATGTTTTATCATTATTATAAATAAATATGAATATATAGAAAATAAATATTAATGTTTTGTCATTATTATCGATAGAACGACTTTGAAAGCTTATTGATTAAATATAATATATATACATATACATATATACATATATATACATATATCTATATACATATATATATATATATATATATATATATATATATATATATATATATTGAAATATTTTCATTCTCTCTTCTCTGTCACTTACGTCGCGGATCCTTCGAAGAACGCGAACAAATATATTCCATCTCCGAGATTCGATTATCCCTGTCACGAAGCCAAAACGGAAGCGTGTTTATATGGAGCTTTCTTGGAAGAAGATTCGGAGGGAAGAAGATAGAGATAGAGGTGACTTAGATGGAATAGAAGCGGGAAGATGAGCGAAGGATCCTGTAATATCCACGATGAAGTAATTTGGGACAAATCGGTACGCGGAGCGAAGACAAAGGTTGTTGGAAGGAGAATGACTGTATATGTGTGTATGTGTATATGTGTGTGCGTGCATATGAGAGAAGGAGAGATAGAGAGTCGCGGTACCGAGATGAGAATTCCCAAGGTGGAATAATCCCAAGGGCGAGGCGAATTTCCGGGAACTATCGTCGACGTGGAAGGGATACATCCCGGCGAGTTATCGACGATAATCGAAATCCAGGGTAGTCCCTTGTGCCTCGTTCGTTTCCCTATGTTCGCGTCCACGAGTCCAAAAGACCAAAATGCGAGTTGGCTAACGTGTTTCCACATGCACACATACATAATGTACAAAAAGACTCATGTACATGTGTATCTTTGTTGTTTTATCAAACAAGATAAAGATGAATCAAAGAATCTCAAGATTTCATTCTCTGATAGATTTAAATGATCTGCGATATAATTTTTTTTTTTTTTAAACGCTTAAATTTATATAAATTATTATTCATCATTGTCATATTTTCATTTGAACATTTAGGAGTATTATTAAAGAAGAGAGTGGAAGAAAAAGAAAAAATAAAAGAAAAAAGAAAAAAAAAGAAAAGAAAAAGAACAAAAAAAAGAAACAAAGAAAAGAAAGAAACAAAAAAATTAACTGGTATCGTCGTTAATTCGTCTATGTGGTTGTTCTTCCTTTTTAACTACTTTTCCATTTCTTTTTTATCTTTCGATCCTAGGTGTAAAAGCTGCATAAAAGCATAAGCGAAAACTGTTTATTCGCGGAGAGCGTCCTTCGACGAGCTTAAGTACCTTCCTTTTTCTCATAAAGACATTTGTACAAACGAAATGGTTTGTTCATTTTTTTTTTTTTAAACGCGGGGATGTACTTAACGCGTAGAAAGATGTAAACGGAATAAAGTGTTCATTTACTCTGGAACGTTTTCACGTGTAAAATTGTGTGAGACCGTGACATGGAAAGTGGATGATTTACTGAACGAGTTGAAGAAAGATAAGATAAAGAAAGAAAGAAAGAAGGAAAGAAAGAGAGGGAGGAAAGGGGAGGGAGGGGGAGTAATGATAAAAGAATGAAAACTTAAGTACGCGTTTGCTTGTGTTATCGAATTTGAAGAGGTTTTCTCTTAAACTCGCGTTTAAGTAAACATTTTATAACCTTCATAAAAATCCTTCAATTAAATCATAGCATGGATGTTATTATTTTTTTTTTTTTTCAACTTTTAACGACATCTTTTAAACGTTCAACAGGATTAAACGATCTTACGTAAATGAAAATTATTTCGAGAATCTCTTTAATCGTATGAATAAAAAATATTTGAATGGAAAAAATAAATGTATGAATGTTTCTCGAATATATATATATATATATATATATATATATATATATATATATATATATATTTTCCTTTCTTTTTTTTTCTTTTTTTTTTTTCTCGAGAAAGATAAACGTCCTATTATTTGTCAGTATTAAAGAAGCTTTTATATTTAACATGTCTTTAATGGATCGCTCTTACGTATATATACAAGGAAAAAATATCAAAGTCTATGTTTTCTTCTTTTTCTTCTTCTTCTTCTTCTTCTTCATCTTCTCCTTCTTCTTCTTCTTCTTCTTCTTCTTCTTTTTATTTTCTACGCGAGAAGACGTCGTCGCACCTTTTAATATTGTTACTTTTTCTTCGTTAAAGCGGATCCTCACGGATGATTGCTTACAATACTCGTGAGAAGAGCCGTTGGAGAAAGAGCTCTTGGTGTTCCTTCTCAAAAGATGCAGAAGGTTTGTTATCGTTTCTTGCGGTAAACTAACAAATAATATTGACTCGTATAATTGCCGATGGCTTTTATCTCTGCGGATTACAGCTTTCAACGTTAACGTTTCTTCGTCATTGTAAGCTAAAAGTTTTTGACGTTTACCAATTGCAATAAAAAGTATCTCGAAAAGTATCTCTCGATTTTTTTCTTCACTCGGATGTTCATTAAAACAAACTATTACAACAAAGCCGAGACTTTACAAGACTATTCTGTTTCTTTTTCTTTCTTTTTTCTTTTTTTTCTCTTTTTTTTTTTGCGCAAACGTAAGCACGTATGTAGATCGATTTTATGATTACGTGATCAAAATATGAACGTAAATGTCAATATTTTGTAATTCTAATCTCACTTTTATAACGATTTTTAAAAATGATTTTCTCTCTGTTTTCATATTTTTTTTTTATATCCTATCTTTTTTCTTTTCTTTTTTTTTTTCTTGCTTTTTTTTTTTTGGAGAAGGCATATAACTTGGTACGATGTATTTATTGCAGGGTTACTCGTAAATGAGTATGTGTTCGTAAACGTTATATGCTATCTTAGCATAATGAAAACTGAAAAGATATTCGAAGGAAGCAATGTCAAAAGCGTCGTGCGTTTTATTGAACGTCGATTAGAGGATTTCTAAAAATCTACGTCAAGTATACTAAGTCCCGATTTAGTAGAATGATCTTTCATGGAGAAAAAAGAGGGGAACAGATGTACAACATCCCTTGATATAGAATGATACAATCTGTTTATCTAAACGTTTATAATAGCACATAGACAAACATTTTGCGATTGGAATGTCTCATAATGATATTCCAAAAGATAATTAGAATTAGAATTAAACGATAAACAATAAATAAATGTTAAAAAATTTTTATATATTCAATTTTTATTAATAAATAATTCTACGTGAGAATGATAGTATGGGCAAATAAATGAAAACTTTGTCTTGGATCTTCCATGTAAATCGATTCAAGAAAAATGATATTTTTTAATTAGAACTTGAAAGAATGACTGTCGAAAATCTCGAACGCGAAGGTTCATCGTAATCCAGGGCGTTTGCCAGATCAGGTACATTTTGGAGACGGAATCAATACGACGTAGGCTTGTAGTGCTGTTACTGGAGTGAATCCACCAACAGGCACCCCCTTTCTCTATCCCCTGCGGCATCCTAGTACTACCTCTCTCTCTCTCTCTCTCTCTCTCTTTACCCCTTCTATCGTCGTCTCACCAATGTCGACCACCCCCAGGGCATTTATTTATTTCCATGCGGTTCGTATATCGTACGTTGCCTCTCCCGATTTTCGAAGAGAGGGAAAGAGAGAGAGAGAGAGAGAGAGAGAGAGAGAGAAGAAGGATGGGTGAGAGAACATCGAGGGAGTGAGTCGCGATTCGTGGCGAAGTCGTAAAATCCGCGGGCGAGACTCGAAATCCGTAATCACAGTTCGCACCAGCCACCGTCCGTGATGGAGGATCTCGCTCTTGAGCGTGAGGGACGAAGGAGAGGGTAGTACTGGTTGTTCGTGCTAGAGGACTCCAAGTAGGGCGAGAAAAAAGGGAGAGTGAGTTCGGCACCCTCGTAGAATTTCCCTACCGCTGGTATTCGATAAAAATGTACATTTCTCTCTCCCTCTCACTCTCTCTCCTCTCTTTCTTTCTTTCTCTCTCTCTCTCTCTCTCTCTCTCTCTCTGTCTCTCAATTTTTTTCTTTTTCTTTTCCCTCTCTTTTTATTTCATTCTGATTATCCTTTTAACCCTTTGACGTTGAAGCGACCGACAGGTGTGACAGGTGACGGACCAAAGGCGGCTTTATTTTAAATCTTTTTCCTGGATCGTTCGTAGGGGACGATTTTGTTATGGGAAATTTCTCGATGTAGAGTTTTAAAACTAACACGAAACATCGATATATATATATATATATATATATATATATATATATATATGTATGAACTTTCAGGTCCTCGTGTAATCAATCGTACGCAATTGTGTTTAAAATTTTTATCGATCGAATTTCAAAATTGTATTATTTATTAGAAATCGATATGCAGATAGCATTACTATAAATTTAGAAAGATCGTACGAATTATGATGATTCCAAGGGATGGGGAAAATATCTCGTGATTCGAATTATACATTGAAACACGCTGACGTATAATTATAGTGTTTTTATTCTCACGGATGGGACATTATTTTCGTTGTCTTTTTATTCATCTTCGTTTTCCACCTCTTCTCCTTTCTCTGGTAGTGTAACGACCCCCGCGAGGATATAATTCACCCCTCGAAACGGTCTACAACGTACAGCAGTCCGATAATAATAACACGAACGATAATGATAATAATAATGCGAGAGCTCGTCCCGAAGGGAAAATAAGAAGAAGCTTAGTCCGAAGTCCCTTCGAGCTTGTATGAATGCAAAGTATACCTGTGTATTAAAATACAAAAAGAAAAAAAGAAAAAGAAAAAAAAAAGAAATAAAAAAATAAAAAAAAAAAAAAAAAAAGAAATAAAAAAGATAATACAATAAAATCAAATAAAAAAGAAACAAGATAATAGGAAAAAACAAAGAAGAAGGAAAAGGGACAAGTAGAA